AAAAAAAAAAATTATATATATATATATATATATATATATATATATATATATATATTATATTACATTATATTATATACTGTATATATATCAAGGGCGTTTCCTCTGAGGAGACAGTTCCTCCTCAAAATATTTGATGAGAAAAAAAATTGTAGTAAAAATAAATAAATAAAACGACAATATTATTTATTTTTATTTTTCTAAAGAAACATTGTCCAACAGCGACACCAGCAGGTAAAGTTACAATGGGAGTCCATATCTCTCTCGCCTCCACTGAGCCCACTGAGTTTTAACAGACCCCCTAAATCATGCCATGAGTTTGCTGGGGGGTAATTGAGAATGAATGGGCGAAAGTCACGTGAGAGGGGGCAATGCCTCCATCACAATATAATTGGATATGACTGTTATGTTCGGCTGTGATTGGTTCATGCGATAAACCCCGCCTCTTGTGTTCGTGCGCATTTGCAAATCAGTCTGAGGCCCTGTCCCAAATCGCACCCTAAACCCTTGCGGTCTTCCTCAGAGTCCACACTTTCGTGACGTAATGCCGCTTTGACTGTCGGGCAGAAGTCTGCTGCGGAGCTCGCCTCAGTGCGGGCTCGGCAAAAGTGCGCAACGAGGGCGCATTACGGCCACAAAGGGGGTGCTCGCGTGCACCCTTCTGAAAGCTAAAATGACGAATGGGACACCATATGGTCTCGTGGACTAAGTGGACATGCGCACAAGGTGGCCATTGTAAGTCCACATGAAGTGTGCCATTTTGGGACAGGGACTGAATTAACAATATAATGGCATTAATGGGAAGACTAATTTTAATATTTATAACTTATTAAGTGCAGGAAATCACTAAAATGGACAAAGGCTGTCGCTAAGCTGATTGAAATGTGAAGACAATAAACACACGATTGCGACAATATAGGGTTTATGTGTGTTTTTCCAAGTCTTCTCCAGATTACAAATGATAATTTACATATTACAGTAGCCTTTAGAACATATATTTTCTGATTTATTCAGTGATATAAATGACAAAAAAGAGTTTGTAGTATATAAATAAATCATAAAATTGTCATTTGGATAAACGTAAGAGATAATAATACTAATAATAATACTGCTACTAATAGTAGTAATAATAATAATATTAATACTACTACTACTACTACTACTACTAGAACCTGTCAATTAGCCAAAAAAAAAGAAAGAAAGAAAACTTACATTTGTGTTCCCCTACTAAATTTTAGTTGGTGAAATATAAAGTAAATCTCTGTGTCTGCGACCAATATTTACCAAGCTTTGATGACTGATGATCCGAGAAATTCAAGAATAGTTAAGAGTTAACTATTAAAAAGAATAGCTGGACATATTCAGATTCATACTTTGCTTTAATAAAACTGTTAATGTAAAAATATTGTTAATGTAAAAAAAAAAAAAAAAAAAAAAAAAA